TGTCTTTATAATACAAATGGGGAGCAGGGCATAGTTTGAGTTTTTTCTCCTACTTCTTAGAACTTTATGGAATATTTTTTAGTTATATTATTCAACATATTTTAACATTAACAATGAAAAGTGTTCATTTTACAGGGAGTATTGTAACTCAAAGGAAATTAGTTTACTAATATTTTCTATGATGTTAATTTAAATTGCTATGTATGTGGTATTCTTAGTGGGAGGGAAACCATTATTTTTATAAAAATGTTCAATGGACCATTTTCCAGAGACAGTCTGTTAATTAAGTCTGCTGTTGTTCATCTTGAGAGTCTAAAAATACGTTAACCAAATTTACAAAAGCTTTAGGTGGGAGGTAGGAAGGTCTGCCGAGAACACCCCAGGAACCACTGCCTTGGATTCTAATCACAGGAATTTCAGCGGCTGCCTGACTCATTAGCAGGTGGCAGTGTCTGAACAGAGAAGATACATGTGGGCTACATACCCAAGAAGTCCACTAAAGGTAGAAAAATGAGCCACGCCCAGAAATGAGCTTTACCTCTCACACCATCAATCCTCCAGAAGTCTATGGTAGGAGCCAGTCATACTGCCTCAGTCACCACTGCCGAGGGTCTTGATCCTCACTCACAGACAGCAAGAGAGTGGCGGGCAGCCAGTTGGCCTGATGGACTCAGGCAGACCTATGCACATATCCTGGTTCAGCTTCACATCCTGGTAGCTGTGACACCTTGAGCAAGTTACTTACTCACTCAGGACCTCAGATCCTTAATCTATAAAATGGGGTTAATATCTACTTCTCAGGATTAGTTGAGGATTAGAGACAGTGTATGCAAGTGCCTCGCAGAGTGCTGAGCACCCAGAAAACTCTCCATAAATGATAGCTATTATTATTGTTGGGCAGTGAGAAAACTCATCAGGCACAGTTTACTCTTAGTTGGAAGTACTTGTCATTAGAAAAGATGGTGCCTCAGCCTTTGGCCTTTGTAACCTGAAAGCCCCCAGGAGGGCTCCCTCTGGAGCTAACTGTAGGGACAGCAGTGGCTTAGAAGAATTCTCAGGCTCTGCACACAGAAACAGGATCCTTGGAAGTGGACAATGTATTAATTTAGATATTTAACCATTTCAAGTTTTAACCATAGATTGGGGTAAGAACTTCTCTGTTTTCCGTACGGTGCCCTTTCAGCTCTTTAGTTCTTTATCCTTTAGTTTTTGATACTTCATTCTTTTCCATTCATTTATGTAGTTATTCTTTCAGTAGCTATTTCCAAAACCTCTGACATGTGCCAGGTGCCATGCTAGGGACTGAGGATACAGAGAAAAAAGTCACACGTGGTCCCAGCACCACAGGAGTTTGAAGACTAGTCTCCCCCCACCCCACCCCCGCCCCAGTGCTGTTGCAGTCATCACCCTGTGCTCATTCACGCTGGCTTTTTCCATTATGTTCAGCCCCTACTCATATCTTTCCAGCCATCCTTCTCTATCCAGCTGCCAGACCCACTGAGCTTCCATCTTCCTTAGAAAAAGTCCAGACTCACTGTCTAGCAGTAAAGCATCCAACACAAACCACATCTTTGCTTATTCTACTTCAGTGGGGGATAGAACGGGAAGGATTTGAAGTGAGCATTTTGTTACCCCCTTGCTATAGAGAAAGTGTGATCCAGCATATTTGGATAGGAGGGGCCACTTTGGTTTGTTCTTGTGTTTTATATCCCATTTTAGGGTAGAAGAATAGGAGAGGAGCTGGGGAATGAACAGAGATGTGGATCAGATAACATTGTTTTACTTTTCCAGGTCAGATATTTGTAGGTAATTTTGTGTTTTATTTAAAATTACTAATACATGTTTTTTGGAACAACAGAAACACTCTTCATTCAAAATCCTTACTAAATACATATGCCAGACCACAAATAGGGATGGATTCTGGACTGTTTCCTATTTTTGTGGTTGTTGTTGTTGTTTTAGACTGCAACCCTTAATGAGATTAGATAATTGTGAAGAGACTATGATCTCATTTACCTGTTTTTAATCAGGACATGAACGGGGGTACTCCATTGAGCCATGAAATTCTGTTGGCTTAGGCCAGGACCATAGCCACTGTTGCAGTAAAGGAACAATATGTTGAATGTCTACTATGTGGCAAGCACAGTACAAAACGCTTGATTTATATAAAAGAAGTCATTCCTCACAGCAGCCCTTCAAAGTAGGTGTTATAGTCCTTCATTTTATATGTAAAGAAATAAGGCTCAGAGATGTGAAATGACTTGCCCAATGTCCCAAGGTAAGTGGCAGAGCCAGATTTGGGCTCAGCTCTCACTGGCTCCAAAGCCTATCCCTGTTATACCATGTTGGTTTCTCTTCATAGAGATCAGTGTTTTACAGACTCCTGCCAAATTCTGTGGGAAGGATGAAGGAGAATGAGGACACACCTCAGGCAGTGTGGAGTGTAGTTTTCCTAAGTGGACCAAGTCACACAACTCCCTTTCCCAAATGGGCCCTTCCCTGGTTTTGCAGAGTAGCTGCTTACGATAATGCAGTGGATAACATATGTGTTCTTGGACATAGGCCCTAGAAAATGTAGCCTAGGTTGGGCAAATTTGCAGTGCTATTCCAGCCATCCTGTAGCAATGTTGGAAGTGAGTGGAAGTTGAAGGAGTGGAGCCTCAGCTCACACAGCCATTCCTTGTACCAAATACCGATGGTGCCCTATGACTCATTGCAGGCTAGGATGGTGCAGTTGCCTGGAGCTGTCTCCTTTTAGTGTTCATGTATTTGTGTCGTTAACCACAGAGAGCCTCCCCCTAGAGATTTCATATTACCTGGGAAGGGATTCTATACTTGAGCATTTCACCCAGTATTTCTTCCACATGGGGGGGTCCTCCTCCAGAGGAATTTGCTCCATTGCTTAGGCTGTTTTCCTATCCCCTACTCAAGGATTATTAGAAAAAAATAATTCTAGAAATGGATGGCCATGTCAATACCATTTAAGCAGATTTGCTCACTAATTTCCATATTTCTGGAAGAGTAAAAAAAAAAATCACCCATTTTAGCCAACTTTATTTTTAGAAAAGTATTTTATTCAGACATCCCCTTACTTATTACAGACATAAATACATGCATTCAGACAAATGAATACACGGGAGAACCGTATAAAGTAATTGGCACATCACTTCAAGATGCTTTGTCAGTTACTGGAGGAATTTGGTGCCTCTGACTTTAATCTTTTCCATTAAAATATCCATTCTGCCTTCAGATTGTGAAGCCCATAATATTTTAGACTGTCTCTGTGGATCTGTTAGTTTTGCTTGTCAATTTAATTTGTGGCTCTATGATTTTGGTGATTGTGCATGGAAACATGTGATCTGCAAATGATGTTCAACATGCCAGGCTTAAGACCTAGCCTCTCCCCAGAGAGAGTGGACATACAATAAATATGGAATTGGCAGATTTCATTTGCATCCAGCCTAATTGTTGATGATATATGGAATGGCAGATGTTTAGCAAAGGAGCTCATTTCTGTTATTATATACCTTAAATGTTTATAACACTTTTTACTCTTTGCAACACATTTTATATACACCATCTCATTTGATTCTCAGAGCTTCCTTGTGCTGGATGATTATTTCCCTCTTTATAGTGAAACTGAGACACAGAGAAAGAGGTTCAGTAACTTGCCTGAGATCACAGGGTAAATTGGGATGCAAAAAAATGCCAGAAGACAAAACCAAATGTGTCCCAAACAAGCCAGGTCACCAAAGCCCAGTTAGTACAGTGGCCTTTGCCACATAATTGCCATTTCCCTTGCTCTCCTTTGGGGAAAGGAGCTATGGGAATAGACAGGTTTGGAGGCAGGAGGTAAACAGTCCAAGAAGCAGAAACTGTGTCATCAGGTCCACATAAATGCCTGAAACCCACTTCCCAGCCACTTGCCTGGACTGTTGCAGCAGCCTCATCCCTGGCCTCCCTCCTTAGTTTCACCTGCACAGTACACATCTACATGTCCCTGGAGGGATCTTTCTTAAATACAAATCTGAACATGTCTTGCCTTGGCTGAAAACCTATCACTGGATCCCTACTGCCATAGGATGAAGTCCAGATTCCTCTGGCACTGGAGTCTCACTTCTGGCCCAACTCTTTTCTCTCCTGCCACGTTGAGTTCCTTACCATTATAGAACCCATTCTGTTCATCCCTACCATCCTTTTTGCTGCTTTTTCTGCTTAGAACATATTTATGATGAACTTCTTAAATGTTACTTTCTCTGTGGAGTCTTCTCTAACTTCTCCTCAAGGACCCAGAAGCTTCCCTTCCTCTTCTGCATGCCCACATCACTTTGCTCAGCTCTATTTCCTGCTTTTTCTCTTCTGGGTGGTCTCCCCTAGAAGGCTTCAAGCAACTTAAGAGCAGAGTTTGTGGTAAATGCATGTATTCTCTTATCTCCCCTATAAGTCTTACAGACTGAATTTAAGAGAATGGATGAGTATGTACATGTAGGAATAAATGAGTGAATGAAGAATGAGTGAGAAACATTGAATAGCCTGAGCTAGCAGGAAGCATGACGTTCCAAGGTCACATGGAATATGTCCCATTCTTCTCTCTCTCTCTCTCAGGGGCCGTGGAGAGATGTTGCCCCTCAAGGTGAAATGAGAGGCAGACAGGGACATGAGTCAGGTCTTTTCCTGGTGCCCTATCATAGAGGAAAGCACAACAGGGTTGAGAGACAGGGACTGATCCTCCTGGCCCAATGACCTCTGACTTCTGCCCACCCAAAAGATTCTTACCAAAGCTTTTGTTGTTAGAAACTCTTCCACGGGGAGCTGAGGGTCTTTGTCAGGAGTTCCTACAGGCAGCATTGTAGGCTTCCAGATTCTAGGCTATTTGTCCAGGAAGAGCACTCCTGGCTGTTAGCAAAATGAAGGGGTAGAAGGTGAGCACATAAAAGGCCTGGGATTAGGGAGAACTCTGAGCTAAGGCATCCCAATCTTAATGTGACTCTGTCTTCTAGATGATGTCTGTCCTCATGAACACCATTGTCTTTGAAGACTGTCGGAACCAGTGGTCAGTATCCAGGCCTCTCTTGGGGCTCATCCTGCTCAATGAGAAGGTGAGTGTGATTGCAGGAAGGTCCTGGAGGTGGTCCCTGGGAGGAGAGAGAAGCTGTACACCAGGCTGAGCCGCGATGATGAAGGACGGAGGAGCAGAGCCAACCGAGTTGGAGCTGAGACCTTGAGAACTCTGTGGTGACGCTATATTCCCCCAGAAGGCCCTCTGAGACCCTTCTTGGGTTAAGCAGAGGCCTCAAGACTAGCTCTTCAGGAACCCACAGCCCCCACTCACTGGGTGGGTGGTTTGCTCAGTAGTATTTCAAGTTCACCCTCTCTTCCCTCCCCCCATTGCTGGGGAATTCTGAGCAACAACCCTTTTGCCTCCTCCCTTGGCCTCCTTGTATATCTGGGATCCCCCCTGCCCTAGATGGTGGTGCAGCAGCCCGGCAGGGATTCCTACACAGAACCAGTACCCTTCATCTGGGGAACACACGTCTCCAGCTTCTTAAGTGTATTTGCCCCCCTGAGCTGCCTCCTGAGCCTCTCCAGCTTCCTCTCGAACGCACCCCTGTCTCCCCAGTAGTCAGTAGGAACAGTGCATTACAGCTTGGCAGAATGAATTGTCTATACAATAAGATAGTACTGGGCAAAAAGACAGTGAGATTAGAGGCAGCTGCATGCATTAAAATTCAAACTAAAATCCCAGCCTTGGAAGGAAACTAATAGAAGAAGAAAATATATCAAAAAGAGAAGAGCTGTCTCATCATTCACCTGTGCTGAAGTATCCAATTTTAGCCACATTCAATAGCACTGTCATTCATCTTCCCTCGGTGTTATTGTGATTTAAATCCAAGCTCTATAAAAGAGAGCAGTTCTTTTAAAATGATTGAGAGGGAATAAGGGCAAATTCAGTGTTTAGAAAAAGCTTATGACATCACAATATTATACTTTACTGATGGAGGCAATATTTCATGGTTTGGGATGAAAAACTAATAATTTTCTATTTGGTGTGAGTCACTGCATCATTATAAAAGGGAAAAATAAGTAGTTTTGTGCATTCCCAATCTTGTTCAGGAAGACATTGTGGTTTAAGTATAATGCCTCTGATATATAGTATTTAAGTATTAGTCTGACTACATATTAATTATGTGTGTTTTTGATGTGAGCTGTTTTAATGTATGATGGAAATTAAATATCATGCTTTTGGGGCTTGCAAGGATAAACACATGACTGGTAAAATGTTGTCTTTGCACTGAAATTAGGCTGTTGCCACTGATTAGGAGCTGTGTTTAGCATCAGAGTTTATGTTTATATAAAAGCCCACAGACCCCAGCAGAGAAGAAGGGGCTGTGCAGATATTTGTGACCAGGTATGACTGATATTTTTCTTAGTGCTAGAAAGCTCTCCCCAAACTAAGCAAGCCCCTCTAGTACCCCATCTCAGTGGATCAGACCCATTCTAACCCACAAGGACAGAGACTTGGAGCAGAGCCTGGAGATGATTAAGAAGCCAGGAAAGATCATGAGGCCTGAGGGGAGACCTTGGCCTTGCCTTTAGTCACCCAAACTGTTCCCTGGGCATTTTTAGTGAAGTTCTTCCCTTCAGCCTGGGGCCCTTCCTCTTTCAGCCTTTCTGTGATTAGTGGAGATAAGAGTCGGGAAGACCATGTGTTCGATCCCCCGCAGAGGATGCAAGGACCCTATCAGCCTAAGCAGTGACAATAGAACAATTATAGCAAGAGATTTTGGTGAAAATGGATAATAGAATTTATGCTCAGGAGCATGTCTGTTGTTTAGGTTTTCTTTAAGGGCTTAAAGTTCAAAGTGAACCTGGACAAAAATTTCTCTGAGCTATTCTGTTTCCCAACAGTATTTCAGTGAACTGAGAGCAAGTCTGATAAACAGCCAGCCTCTCCCCAAGCAGGACGTCCTTGCCCAATGTTTCAGGAACTTGATGGAAGGAGTGGAGCAGAACCTGTCCATCAAGAACAGAGACAGGTGAGCATTGCCCAGTAGGGCATCTCTGGGAGAGGTAGACATTCCAGGTTGTTGAAAATAACTGGACTGTATTAACACAGCTCATATACTGATGCGGCTTTTCTGTTACACCTGTGATTCTAAACCTAATTCAGTTCCATTCCATAAACAGAACTGGGTATTTGCATTCTTCTAAGCACCCCGCTAAGCCCTATGCAGCGATGCAGAGATTAATAAAATGTAGCCTTTGCCCTTAGGCAGTTTCTAATTCAACAAGAGAGAGATGAAAAATAACATAATTGAAAAGATCAAAGGTGCCAGGCACAGTGGCTCATGCCTGTAATTCTAGCACTTTGGGAGGTTGAGGCAGGAAGATCGCTTGAGGCCAGGAGTTTGAGACCAGCCTGAGCAACATAGTGAGACCCAGTCTTTACAAAAAATTAAAAAAATTTAGTCAGGCATGGTGGTGCATGCCTGTAGTCCTGGTTACTTGGGAGGTTGAGGCAAGAGGATTGTTTGAGGCCAGGAGTTCAAGGCCAGCCTGAGCAACATAGTGAGACCCAGTCTTTACAAAAAAATAGAAAAACTAGCTAAACATAGTCATGTGCACCTATTGTTCCAGATACTGACGAGGCTGAGGAAGGAAAACCACGTGAGCCCAGGTGTTTGAAGTTGCAGTGAGCTATGATGACACACTGCACT